AGCACTATCCATTGAACTTGACACTCATCGATATTAAATATAATTAGCTGATGAATTTTGAACATTTATTAATGGCCGGTTTATCCCTGTGATACCCATAGCCCTAATGGATAAAATTGGCCGGTAAAGAAACTCGTAATTTAACAAATAAAGTTGACAAACTCTTATATTTCATCAGGCAATGATATACACATACAGATACTGGATCTAACATAGTATAGATGGGGAGAGAGAGACGCCTCCGTGCACAATATTTACCAGGATTGTCCGAGTGTCCAGTAGTGCAGCTGCCCTGTTCTCTCTCACGCGCCTGGCTAATACGTCTTCAATCCAGTAGTGAGCAATGCCGGTATCTTTTAACCTAGACAGGAGCTGTTGGAAACGCTGGTAATATGGTGCTCCCTTCCTAAGAAATAATGTAAATAGCGAAACTTGAGGAAATAATATGAAGACAGAAAAGCTCGATAAGATTTTAGTGCAATGCTTCTAATAAATTATGACACCATTATATCTGTATAATTTAATTCTATTGAAAAATTTCCATAATACTTTTCAAAATCTTGCTAGCAACTCTTGTTTTAAAATGAAGAATAATAAGGTACATCTGACTAAACAAATTTCATGAAACGAAAGATTTATATAGTAATTCTCAACTTTTCCTGTAATTCTAAAGTTGGAGAGTAAAACTAAAACTTGTGTCAGGATGTGGCTGTGTTGCTGTTACGATTTTTATGTAGATATACTATTTGAGTGTCAGTAATATATTTAGGAAATGATTGCACTTTAGATCTTGATAAGTTTTTGGGGGGGTAGGGAGGCGATATAATCATAGTTAACTGTGAATAATTGCTTAAAGTTATTAAAATTCAACTTGCGTAATTAACTGTCTATACTGGGTTAGGTATAATAAATGTTGGCTTTACTTAGTTAGGGGGATCTAGAGGCGAAGAGACTAAGTATTTTTACCACTGTATTCACCACCGTCAAGAGTACACTTTGGTGTTAAGTCTATACAGTATCCGGTTCACCAGCGCCGGTACCTGCCACCACTAGAGGAGTCTGAGACTTTTTATCTGGATATCATAATTATGCACCAATAGCTGGAGAACATGTGTTTATATTCTTGAGGTATTACAAAGTTTTGGCTGCACGAATTATGATTATTTTCTAAACCACAAAAAAATAACTTTTATTGCATGAAAAATATTCCATATTCTTTTATCTCTATTAGTTTCAATAGAAAATGACCTTTTCCATCGCTTCCTACACCCTCTGAAACACTCGCCTAACTCGCCGTCTATAGTATTTGCTAATACACACCTTACCGGGAGGACAACTAGCATATTACACATGCCTGAATGACCACCCAAAGGCAGCTAGTACTTTTATTCCACGCTTGCTGATGTAGAAGGGTGTTTGGCCGTAGCTGTTGGTGTACTTGGAGTCAATGATGACGGTGATGTGGTATTTAGCACTGAAGAATGAGTAGCTCCCCTCTTTCACCTTCTGCAGTCCCCCCGCCGTTGTTACAGGCTGGGGAGGAGAGTTAAAATATATTATTGATAGTCATTTCTTATTAGGTTAAACTTGCGCCAGGTTTGTCCCTTAAGCATATTTTTTTTTTTCTGATTTAATGTTCCATAGAGTAAAACTGAGTCGATGCTTAAGAGTTCGTGAGTATATTACAGCGTGGTTTTGTGTTCAGTTGACATACTTTGGTTTACTGATTGGGTTTTATACTTCCTTCAGCAAAGAAATGATGTTATCTTAACTATATTGACTTGTTTCACATATTACGTCATTGTAAGAAATAGTAATTGGAATTTCATAACATAATCGAATATTTCATGTAGTGAAAGTAATAAGGATGAGAATGTTTTTAATGGTGAAATATTCTGCAGTTTACTTGCCTCCATTTTTCCATTTATCTCCTGCACGACAGGGTCAGTATGTCTTGTGAAATATTCCTTTGGCATTCCTCCCATCAACCAAGAGTCTATACCCCACTTCCAGTTGCTTCTATCCAACAGATCCTCAAATGTTTCTGGAGACTGGGTCCTCCCTTGGACTGTCAGGTGTGAGATTAATGACGAACGAAACCCTGTGATCATGACGACACAGAACACCAGCCACCACCCCACCAGCACCTGCAAACATTAATCTTGTGACCAGGCAGCCAACGTTTGTATATAACTTCATCCCACCAATATCTACATTTACTTAAATGACCAGATTTAACCCTCAGTAAATATACTGATATCATTATGAGTCTTTAAGGAATTTATGGAGTAACGGATTATATTCACTGGAACACATTTCTCTGAATTAACAAGCTCAAGAATAACAAGTTTGTTTTTAAAGCGATTAGACCAACGAGTACTGAATTCGTTCGGTCCATCAATTTACCTCAAATCATAATATTATTTTCTTTTCCTCAAATTAAGTAACCTAGTAGAGGCTTATCTTTACTATGCTGTTATTTGAACCACTCTAAAGGAACACTATATATAATTGTGTAAACCCACAGTTTATAATAAATTCACTTCACATTTCCTTTGTTAAACTTTGTCTTAGAATAGAACTTTAACGCATTTTCATTTTGGAACTATATATCATGGAATCCGTGGATCCCGTATTTTGTTTTTCAAAGAAAAGGAACTTTTGATCAATCGCATATTCGTTATTGAAACAATTAATTAATTATAAATAGGTTTCCACTTAGCAGGTAATATCATGGAGTTCCTAAATCTGTCCAACCTTACTCTTATGAAGCAAATAGCGTTTAAAATGTCCTGCCAGTATCACATTCATGAATATATTGAGAAGTTTGTCATACAATGGTCATAAAACCTTATGGAATCTTGTAAAGCTATTGAAATTTTATTTTATAACAAAGTGATATAACACTTCTTTGAACTATACTTTTAAGTGTAAGGGACACTAATAGTAGGTGTTTTAAGACGGGAATTTACTGCCTTCGCGAAAGACTCAACAACGGTGACCTCAACGAGGATTAGATATTGATAAATGAAGTAGCTACGAGGATGTAACTAATGTAACTAAATATTTGGTCCATGAAATGTGGATAAGGTCTTGTCATAAACGCTTTATCTGTCCTTTACACTTAAAAGTATAGTTCAAAGAAGTGTTATATCACTTTGTTATAAAATAAAATTTCAATAGCTTTACAAGATTCCATAAGGTTTTATGACCATTGTATGGCAAACTTCTCAATATATTCATGAATGTGATACTGGCAGGACATTTTAAACGCTATTTGCTTCATAAGAGTAAGGTTGGACAGATTTAGGAACTCCATGATATTACCTGCTAAATGGAAACCTATTTATAATTAATTAATTGTTTCAATAACGAATATGCGATTGATCAAAAGTTCCTTTTCTTTGAAAAACAAAATACGGGATCCACGGATTCCGTGATATATATATACATATATATTTATATATAAAGAGAGAGAGAGAGAGATTAACAACGAGGCGTGTAACTAGTGGAAGAAGACTCTTCTTATATTACACAGATGAAAGATTTACTTTTCCTGAGTCGCTGACGGAGGGGTTGGAGGGTGGCCGCTCCAGAAGCGCGCCCCAGCCGTACAGGAATGCGGTGGTGAACTTCACACCACGACCTCCCGCAAACCATCGCCACGCCCTATGTATTAACCACAGGGTCACACCCCACGCCACTACGCTCACCAACAGCGCCACCCACAGTTCTCCTGTAGGAAGGAGTATGCTACATTCTTTTTTTTATCAGTAGTTTTCTTACAGAATCTAAAATACCTTATATTAATAGTTATTAGGATAACTTCATTCATATCGCCGGCGAAAATTCCAATAACACATGGAGTCTTCCCCATACACCGGCGCCACCCAATCATAGCGGAGCAGATAACAGGTACAATCATTCAAATTGCCATCCAAGCATCAAACTCGGTGTGACCAATATGAGTTACTGAACAAATCTATCCCATTGACATTCGAAATTCCAAGATGGCGGCCATTTTCCAGGATGGCCGCCAAATTTGCCTAACAGAAAACATTATTTTAGGTGACTTATTATTGGCTAATATGTGCACATAAGGTCTCTATTCATATGTTTTAAAGCATGACGGAACACATTATTATTGTTTTTGAACCTTTAGTTTTATCTTTTATGCCTAAAGTAACGGTTCTGTACATACTTTACTTCTTTTCATAAAAATAAGTGTAAGCGTATCTTAGTTAAAATGAGAAACAATTATATCTTGCTCATATCCTTGGGAGATACTGTATTTTGTGTGTGTTATTTTTCCTATATACAGCTGCTGGCTTGTGCATCCACACAGAGCTGTACAAGTGAGACCAGAGCGGATACATTTACATCGCTGTCCACAGTCTTTCTTGCAAGAACACTTGGTGAGTTCTTGGCAGCTTGCTGCTATTGGTGGAAGGTCAGTCCAGTGTATTTGCCACATATCTCATTTCTTTTACCAGCCCCAGTTAGCAGGACTTGGAATGTCTGGTTGGGCTACTGTTGCCTGACCCCAAATCATTCCACCTTGATAGGCTGCACACTTGACATGTTCCTTTAGAGCAGACCGTGTTGGTGGAATTGCATTAT